TAGGTGGTTAGGTTGTATGTTTGTTGTATTTTATTATACTTTGAGGCCAACAGGTTATTTTGAATCAAGGATGACATGTCTGGCGAGGAATTTGGGAACCTTCTTGGTACCCATATTGCAACTGTTGGGACAGGGATGGTGTATAGTATGGAGCTAGTATTATATTGCTTGGTCAAAGCCTGGTTCTTTTGTATTTTTATTACAATGTGCTCAATCAGCATATTAATGTACAAGAGGCTCAGTACCACTGTCATATTGAAATCAAACACATGCTTCGTGTACAAGAGGCTCAGTACCACTGTCATATTGAAATCAAACACATGCTTCGTGTACAAGTGGCTCAGTACCACTGTCATATTGAAATCAAACACATGCTTCGTGTACAAGAGGCTCAGTACCACTGTCATATTGAAATCAAACACATGCTTCGTGTACTAAGAAATCAGTGAGTGAGTGAGTGGTGAGTATTCCAGTTATATCACAGCATGTCAGCTTAATGTGGGAGGAAAGCCTGAAGTTGGTGGGTTGGTTTGTTGTTTAACGCCGCACTCAGCAATATTCCAGCTAAATGACGGCGGTCTGTAAGTAATCGAGCCTGGACCAGACAATCCAGTGATTGACAACAAGAGCATCGATCCACACAATTGGGATCGATGACATGCATCAAACCAAGCCAGCGAGCCTGACCACCCGATCCCGTTAGTCGCCTCTTACGACAAGCATAGTCACCTTTTATGGCAAGCATGGGTTGCTGAAGACCTACTCTATCCCAGAATCATCACGGGTATGATGCAGGTCTCAGACGTTTACCACTTCGGTGAGACCAACATCAACAGATACCAAGTCCCAAACTTAGAGAAGAATGTAGCAAAAGGCATTTATATGATTGATGTTGAAAATCTCACTAATTGAGTCGGATGGTTTATGTGTCAAATTTGCATAGGGTATTAACTCTCACCATCAGGTAATTGGCTGATTATTTGCTGGTGTAAAATGTCACCTTACTATGAATCTGGTTATCATGCAGGATTCTGTCAACTTAATTTATGAGGTTACACTATGGATTGTCATGTGTGCTCTTAAAGGGCCAAGTATTTATTACTTCAGCCCTAATCCAGGATATCTGTCTAGATCTGTTTGAGTTGAAGATTGTTTGATGTCCCCTTCTGTAAGTGTGTTAATTACCATGAAGCCAGTCATGACCTAGCAGACTGGCAGACAGCATCACCTGTATATCGCTGGGCCATCTCGGTGGGAACATGACATTTCTTGTAACTAACAACTCCAGGAATAAATGATTCTGTCAAAACCGAGTCAATATTGATTTTTCCCAATTTAAGCAAAAGCCTCATTAGTGTTTAAGTCTGGGGGTTTGGGTTTCCGATGTTCTGTTTTCCTGGGTTACAAAATTTAAGAAAATATCAATACCTTTAAAAGTTTAGAAGGGTACAGAATACTGCTGGATTAGAGATTGTGCACAAGCGTGTTTTAATAGAACAGGGAGAGTTTTAAAATTTGATGATGGTTGAAACCCATGACGTCTTTAGCTTTCTGGCTGAGGAAGGGAAACCTATTTAGAGTGTTGGCAAAAAGTGTACAGCGTTTTCAGAATTGGCTTGAATTCCTTGGAGAGGAAGAGAAATTTCTTGTTATTAGGAGCTGCTTCCATTTCACTATGTGGCCGATGCTCCATCCCAATCCCTAAGATACCAGCATTTTTGTTGGGTTCTAGTTCATTAAAAGGAAAAACAACTGAGAAAATAGAGAGAGGTTGTGTTTGGCTTGCTGAAAGGAAATTTATTTTGATAGATGTAAAACATTTATCGATCTATTGTCAGTTTTTTTATGGTCATTGTGGTGTTTCCAGTAGTGATGACACTGCTGTAAAAAGAGTGTTATGAGTGGAAACTAAACTGATTGGAACCGGTCTTGTTGCAATCCCTCACTCAGCATCAATTCTGGCATTTGATTAGGTTTCAGTTTTTAGTCATACCATTGATATGTTGTTTTGCAATCCAAAGAGCTCTTGTGCAAGCTACCATAGCACTTGACTTACTGACCACGTTACTGTTGTATCATGCTCCCATACTTTAACAAACTTGTTGCAAATCTTCAAGTCATATAACTTAAAATGGGCTTCATATTTTGTACTTGTGTGTGAAATCAGACCCACTTTGTACCCTAATCTATTCAAACATCTTAGTGACCTGTGAAGATCCTGGATAGAATAGGTCTTCAGCAACCCATGCTTGCTGTAACAGGCGACTAACAGGATATGGTGGTTAGGCTCGCTGACTTGGTTAGTGCATGTCATCGTATCACAATTGTGTAGATTGATGCTCCTGATATCAATCACTGGTGTGTCCGGTCCAGACTTGATTATTTACAAACTGCCATCATATAGCTGGAATATTGCTAAGTGCAGTGTTAAACAAACAAACAAACAATACTCCTTGTAGTTAAGGAACATTTGCTGTATACAAGTATGCTGTGTATATGCATCACTAGTCTTCCATACGTTCTACTATTGCCTTTATAGATTAACAGTTTTTGGAGAAGTTTACAATTGAACTTATGTACTCTTATGAGACCTGATATCTTTTGAGATTCGTCTTTGAGATTTGTTTGTGTTTTACCGTAAAGCTGCATTATTTTGCAAATTCACATTAAGTAATATGTTTTTAAGCAAGATGTTTTTAAAAGAGATGTGTTTTCATTTTGTTCTTCTTTAACAATGTGACTGCAGATATGTTCAGTTAACTCAACTCATCTCAAATTCTCTTTATCAGTACAACACTCTCCGTGTCTGCCAACCAGACAGTTGATCCTGCTCAATGGCCACCTTTGTCACTCAGACCGACCACCAAAATATAAATTTGAAATATGAAGGTCTTTTCAGTATATGACCTTAAATGTTTGTTTGTTTGTTGTTTAACACCGCACTTAACAATATTCTAGCTACATGATGGCAGTCTGTAAATAATCGAGTCTGGAGTATCGACCTCCGCAATTGGGATACGATGACATGCGTCAACCGAGTCAGCGAGCCCGACCACCGGATCCCGTTAGTCGCCTCTTACGACAAACATAGTCACCTAACTGTGAATGAGCTTTGCCTAATACATTTCTGTTAGCTTTGGAAACAAGCACCTTTCCTGTAGTCACACCAATTATAACTAGCCCCTAAATCATGCCCGAATTCAATACATCTTACTTAGTGCAAGGGTTTGGTTTTATTAGTCCTGTAGATATTTTGCTAGACTCTGGCTTCAGGCTAGTGGTTGTGGGCATGTGTGGTATCTTACTGGCTGTATGTGTCTGTGTGATGAGAGGACTTCCTGTACAGTGTTGGACAGTAGGAAAAAGATGGTGGAATCCTGGATGAGTGTCTCCCCGAGCGACTTGGTCTCTTAGCCCCATGTAATACAGCTAATCTTATTGCAGTGAAGCTGTAACCTACTGCCTTGGGACACATTCTGATTGTGAAAGCCTAACACAATCTTCCCGAATAGGATGGCAATCCATATCTTCTTTTGGCCTAGCTTAGCTGCAGTGCATCAAGACGTGGGAGGGAGCCAATGCGATTAATGTGCTTGATTTTGTAATATAGATGATCAATTTTTAATCACATTGATGAAACATTAAGCTTTCTATTCACTCTCTGGAAGTTAAGTTTTAAAGCTGTTGAAATCAATGGATAAGGTGATATTCAATTTGAAAAATTGAAGTCTGTGGTTCAGATCAAAGTTCAGTGACAAGCAGGAGGAGGTGTATGTTATCTAAAGACATCTGCCATCTGTGGAGGGTCCACTATTTAATAGTTCATACAAAACAGTGGAAGAGAGAAGGGAGAGATGTGGGGGTGATCAAATCATATTTAAATCGGTGGTGAAAAACCTGAGGTTGATGAAAAAGAAACTGTGTTTTTCTTTCTGTGGTTGCTTGGCTTATGTGAAGGTAGTTGCCGTGGTAGCATATTTTAATTTGAGAAAATAATTTTAAGAGTATTACGTAATGTTTTGACTTGTTCTTTCGTCATTGAGAAGATAGCGTTTAACTGAGGAAACATAAAAAACAGCCAACTGAAATGAATATATTAGAATCAATCTGAATGTAAGAAAATAAATCAGAATATTAGAGGCAGGGTTGACTGTATATTGAAGATTGTTTGATTTGATTGAACAGAATTTTATCTCATTTGATTGCTTTACTTCATTATTTCAAAGTATGAGTTGACACATAAACTGCTGGAATTTATTACCAGCGGACATGAGCTGTGTTGGGGGTGAGTGAGTGTGTGAGTGAGTGAGTGAGAGTGAGTGAGTGAGTGAGTGAGTGAGTGAGTGAGCGAGCGAGCAACCAAGTGACCAAGTGAGTGACTGACCTAGTGAAAGAGCTACTCTGTTTTGTATAACACCTTAATGCAGGAGTATAATCATGCAGGTCTTAAATGTTTAGTTGGTGACAAGTCTGACATTCAAACCCACGATCGCATCACTAGAGCATGTTTTCTACGGCACTGACCAACTTACCATGTTCCTCTAAGGGTCAAGGGTAGTATTCTTCATAATTGGTATAATTAATTTCTTTATATTACTGAAGTCCTTCTCATGCATATTTACTTTCAAAGATGTTTTATTGTGATTTATTTCTTTAATTGATGGGATGCACTGGATCCCTTTTAGTCTAGACCTGAATTGGTCACTATTAAACAACCTTTGTCTGCCATAAGAGGCCCCTAAATGGATTGGGTAGTAGATATATATACATGCCGATTATATACACACTTACAAATTACCTGTGAATGTTGCACTGATGCCAAAACCTCTGCCAGTTTCAATAAGCTGTACTTTTGTAAGTAGCAGTAATTTTGAATCTATGATATCTTGGTGAGTATACATCCAGTTTACGTAATTGTCATGAGACGTCTTGGGGTCTCAGAAGTTAACCAGAAATATGTGTCCTGTGCTCTGTAAGTAAATGTTGTGTTGCTTTTTCAGGTAACTGTAACCAGTCCAACCCATGCATCCACGAGTGTCAGGACATCTACGATGGGGGCTTCATCTGCCACTGCAGGGAGGGCTATGTCCTCAACAAGGACGGAATGTCCTGCTCAGGTATGTCTTGTCATCATGACTGAACCCATGTGTCCTCATGCTTGGTGTAATGGCTAGTTAGAAGGTAGATCAGAAGGCCACAAAGTCGGGTAATGTCAACAGCTAGGTGACAACCACTGGTTGTTGATTGCTGAGATGTAGCTTTGTTGCAGGAGGTGGTGTTCGTTGCAGAGGGTGGGGGTTTCTTGCAGGGGTTGTTTTTTTTGCAGGGGGTGGTGTTTGTTTCAGGGGGTGGGCAATCTCATTAAAATCAGATCTAAGTTCTCACTGCCGCTAAACAAAGATCTGAGGACATCCCATTACGGGTCATGTGAGAACGACCTTTCGCGAATTTTGACCGACCACTGAAATGACTAACAAGAAGTCGACATTAGCCACTTAGAAAGCAGCTTTCTTAAGTTTACAGCACTCATTTCAATCTGGTGAGTTCCATTTAAGACTACGCTTGAAAAATATGTTGACACAATTCTCGATTAAAATTTTGAAAACTGAACAAACGAACATTCCGGAATGTTTAATATATGGTTGAAATTGTATGGCAGTGCTTCCCACATACTGTGCAACGCCTCCTCCGTTCATATATTTATCCCAAGGAAGCGAGAGATAGAGAATAATTTGATGGAATCAGTCGTACAGGCTGTAACTGTCATTCGGAATATACAGTGTTAACGTTTTAGAGGTTGCATGATAAGAAAACACATTTCGACTGTCACTTCCGCTTTGATTGGTCGGATGAAAGGTCGTTCTGACGTGACCCGTATAGAGATGTCTTCAGATCTTTATTCAGCGATAGCGAGATCTTATTTTAATGAGATTAAGGGTGTAGGGTTTGTTGCAGGGGGTGGGGGTTGTTGCAGGAATGAATACCCCCTTTCCCCCCCATTCTTTTGACATCTTGCTGTCAACCAATGTCAGTTCCTCATGTGTGTATCTTTGTGACTTTGACACCTCCCCCCCCCCGAGACCTTGATCCGTCTCTGTGATATATACTACTCAAAAGAAGTTAAGGATCACCTGATTCTTTCATATTACTAAAGTTAATCTCTCATGTCATGACAGATTGACTTTACCATTATGAAAGAATCCGGTGATCCTTAACTTCTTTTGAGTAGTATAAATATGCTAAACTCAATGTAGTTACATTCAGCTGGAGAAATGGAATGTGGTTGGCAAACACAAATGCCATCTTCAGCTCGTGACTGGTTGTAATAAATGTCTCTGTATAGATCCTCATTATTCTGGATTTACTTTCATATTGAATGAACGTTAAAGATAGTATGACAGTATTTCAGTGTACATTTCCTGATTTTATTGACAGAACAATACTTTCATGTCTCTCCTTCTGGAAGAGATTGGACACTTTGTGGAGTCAGTAAGCATTGTTCTAGCTGTCACTGATGAGTCATGCACGGATCTCAGTATCGGTAACTGGTTTCAAATTGCATCTATTTGTGAGATTCCATGGGGTCCCAGAGTGAAGTGAACTGCATGCAGTACAAGGTCAAGCAGTGTCTGTTAATGCCTTGTATTTAAGTCAATTATAGTCTACAGGCAGAGTTGATGTTTAACCTGAACTTTGAAAAAAGCTTGGATATAAGGGATTAGTGTATTGTTAATGTGACAAGTTCTACTGAGAGGGATTACTCTTGGTGAATAATCTGTTATTTGAACATGTGTTGCCAGTGTTGGAGTTTCATAGGCATAGGGGTTCATGTAGTCTGTGATGGTCTGTTCATCTTGATAAATTGTTTTAAAACAAGAATTACATTTTATGATGAAATAACAGTGAATTAATTTTGTGTCATGTTAAAAAAAATAATACATCAGATTGTTAAGGAGCATTCGATATTTGATCCTTGAAACGTACGAATGGTCTTCCATTTCTGTACAAATAAGTCACAGAAATATGATTATTAGGAATTCATGGTGTTCATAGTGAAGACTGTGTGTGATGCTGTAGAGATGTTGGTGGTATAAAGACATGAAATTTTATGACGAATAACTTGTTTATTGTTTTGTAACGACACTTCAAGGCTACTTCTTGTATACCTTCATCAGGTGATTTTGTTTGCTTGTTGTTCAATGCCGTACTCCTCAGTATTCTAGCTCTATGACGGTAGCCTGTAAATAATCAAACTTGGACCAGACAATCTAGTGATTGATATGATGAGCAACGATTCAAGCCTTCGGGTATAATGACATGCAATCATTTAAGTCACAGAGCCTAGCTACCTGATCCATTGGTTCACCTCTTACAACCAGGGGACACGGGTGGCCCAGTATCTAAGGCGCCGCGAGAAACACCAGAAACCTATGATTGTCAGTTCGAATCCCGGTTCGCCCCAATTATGTTTCTAGGTTTGTCAGCACCATACCCGTGCTCATGGGTTTCACCCAAGTGGTAAGCGTCTGAGACCTGCATCACTTCGGGCTTTCCTCCCACATTAAGCTGACACGCCACGATATAACTGGAATACTGTTAAACTCACTCACTCACTCACTCACTCACTCACTCACTCACTCACTCAACCACTCACTCAACCAGCATAGGTTGCTGGGGATTATTTTAGCCCAAAAGCGTTGTTGCAAAGTAATACAGAAGTTGTCATATTAGTTTTATGTCTGTATGTTCTTGACACTTCTAAAAGCCTATCATAGATTTTTTGCTGTAAACCTATCAGGAAATGTATAGATTTAAGGTTTTTTGGTTTATTTTGGAATCAGATATTTCATTTTGCCTGTGTGGACAGTGGGGTTCAGAGTAGAGAAGATGATGGACACAATGTTTCAAAGATCCAATAGTAATGGAGTGGAAGTTGTGTTATGATATTAATGGAGGAATGAATACTTGCCAGACAGGTGCTCTATTTGTAGACAGGTTAAAGTTGGCTGTGCAGGTAATATGGTTCCATGATTTTATTCAAAAGAACAAGAAAAAAGAAAGAGAATCCAAAGTTTAAGAAATTTGTCAATTACTGTAAAATCTCATAAAACTCACAGCTTTGATGTAATATTTTTTTAAATCTTCTCCTGAATATGGTAAGGTTTTAATGTTGAAATAGGGAAAGAATTTGTAATTAATGGTTTCCTTGAAATGTCAGGGTCAGAGTATTTCACATCTATTTTTCTCCACGCAAATTTTCAGCTAGTTTCTATAGCAACTGGCTATGAATGATATGGCGTCATTCAAATCATGCATCATTGATTCAGTCTCAATCCAGAAAGTCGGATTTTTGTCAGGATTGGTTTCACGAAATGAAGTCTGTAGTTTTTGCCATGAAGATCTTCAGAATCATTGAAATTATTGATCGTGGCAAGTACCAACAATATCCCAGTTTTTGCTGCATGGTTGTGTAGAAAAGAAGCACCACCACCAGTTGTGATTGATGTAAGTACGGATACTTTCATGGATGATGAACTTTAGTTTGCTATTTGTGTGTAAAGTGATTTGCCTATTAGTTTTTCCACTCACTTATCCCACCAGTAAGAACGGGACGAGAGATATGGGTGTAAATCATGCAAGGTTTGTACAGAACATCAAAGTAGTAAGGGAGAACTTTTTGCGAATGAGGATCTCAAATTATGTTTTGTAAGTTAACATACTGATAGAGGGAGTTCATGGCTAAATCAAATTTGTCTGGGTTTCTCTAACTTTGGCAACAGTTCCATGAAATTACCGTATTTTATACATTTTGTGCTGTGGTTCAATAGCAGATATTTTAACTGTTATTGAATCATTTGGAAGAGGTTCAACAATGTTCCCCTTGACAATTATTTGTATCACATTCTGCTGTTAAACACTGTAAATATGCACCATTGTGACGGACAGTGTATCACTACTGTCCGAAATAGTGAAGTCCTGACCAGACAAACAATTTGATAGAGCAACAATTGAAGCCATCAGTTTAAAGATCCTTGTCAACCAGTCATGCGTTGTATCAACCGAGCCTCAGTTTTGTTGGTCAACCATGGGGATTCCGGGCCAGAAAAGGCCCCCAGCAACACATCTTGGTCATAAGAGGCAACCAAATGGATCTGGTGGTCAGGCTATCTGGTGGTCAGGCTTTCTGGTGGTCAGGCTATCTGGTGGTCAGGCTATCTGGTGGTCAGGCTTTCTGGTGGTCAGGCTATCTGGTGGTCAGGCTTTCTGGTGGTCAGGCTTTCTGGTGGTCAGGCTATCTGGTGGTCAGGCTTTCTGGTGGTCAGGCTTTCTGGTGGTCAGGCTTTCTGGTGGTCAGGCTATCTGGTGGTCAGGCTTTCTGGTGGTCAGGCTTTCTGGTGGTCAGGCTTTCTGGTGGTCAGGCTATCTGGTGGTCAGGCTTTCTGGTGGTCAGGCTTTCTGGTGGTCAGGCTTTCTGGTGGTCAGGCTATCTGGTGGTCAGGCTATCTGGTGGTCAGGCTTTCTGGTGGTCAGGCTTTCTGGTGGTCAGGCTTTCTGGTGGTCAGGCTATCTGGTGGTCAGGCTATCTGGTGGTCAGGCTTTCTGGTGGTCAGGCTATCTGGTGGTCAGGCTATCTGGTGGTCAGGCTTTCTGGTGGTCAGGCTTTCTGGTGGTCAGGCTATCTGGTGGTCAGGCTATCTGGTGGTCAGGCTTTCTGGTGGACAGGCTATCTGGTGGTCAGGCTTTCTGGTGGTCAGGCTATCTGGTGGTCAGGCTATCTGGTGGTCAGGCTATCTGGTGGTCAGGCTTTCTGGCTTTATTGATTGTGTGTGTCATCATACCCTAATGGAGGGGAATGTTGCTCATAATGTCAGCCACTGGGATGTCTTGTCTAGAATCAATTATTTACAGTTCTCCATCACATAAGCTCGAATATACTGCACTTCAGGTAGGAATATTTTCTCTTTCAATGATACACAAATCTGGTTCTCATATGTCAATTGTATTTTTTTTATACAATCCAAAGTTGATTATCCCTTTGAAAAGTTGAAAAGTATATTACTGAATGCAATGTTAAGCAACAAACAAAATGAAACAATTTTGATGGCTCTTGAACAGG